TCACATTTATCCACATCATTATAACTTCTAGTCATCATTATTTCTTTATGTAAATCTAAAGTTTAATCTGGTATCATTTTCTTTCAGCCTCAGAAACTCCCCATATTGTTTCTAGTAAATCACATGCTTTCTCACTTTCCCTTCTCTGAACATGTGTTTCCTTTCCTTTCATATTTGGTGATAAATGTTTCTGAATACAAATGTCTGGTCTAACTCAAATTATCATTAATCTTTTTCTGTGTCCTATATCTATCATTTGTTAAATCACTGTCAGTGTATGATATATAATAATGCCATTGGAGTCTTGTTGAGTTTCCAGGTTCTTCATCTTTGGTTTTAAATTATATTTTAACATTTATTCAGTGTGTGTGTGTGTGTGTGTGTGTGTGTGTGTGTGTGTGTGTGTGTGAGAGAGAGAGAGAGAGAGAGAGAGACACACACACATGTCTGTGTGTGGATATGCATATGGAGTCATAGGACAGTTGCATGAGTCAGTTCTATCTTTTCATCATGTGTGTTCTAGGCACCAAAACAAAAGTAGTCTTGCTTGACTACAAGTGGCTACCTGCCAAACTATCTCACTGGCCTGAGTATTAAATTTTATAATATATTAAATTTTATTTATTTTTATTTTCAATAAAAATAAATTTAATGTTGTTTTCCTTTTCTTGCTTGGGATTCTTGAGTTTTAAAGTTTGTTTTCCACTGAGTAAATTTAGACAGCATATTTTTTTAATGTGTCTATGGTGAATTCTATTCTTTCTCCTTGAGAGTCCAAGTACATGGACATTAGATTTATTCTTGTTGTACAATTCACTAAGATTACTCCTTTTTCACTCCCTTCTCTCTTTTCTACATATTCAATTATTTTTATTTATATTCAAGTTTCTTTACTCTATCCTATGTTAACAACTAGTTAAGTAGATTAGCAAACTTTTTATTTCCCATATTTTAATTTTCAAGTCTAGATTTCTTGATTGAAATCCGTGACTGTTCACTCACTATAATCATATATTCCCCTAAGTCCTTGAACCTATATATGCTAATGTTCTAATGATCCTGAATGCTAATATACATCATAAAAGGGCTCTTCTATATATCTGACTTTCTGTTTTCTGTGGGTCACAACTTTTTGTTTTGCTCATAATGAGTATTTTCTAATTGTATATTAAAATTTGCCTATAAATGATGGAGATTCTAGATTTATTCACCTAACACACTTGTGTTCTGAGTGGGCTCAATCTGAGGATGTGTACATTGAACACAACACCTGCACTTGGCAGAATCACCTTAACCTTCTTTCACCAATATATACAGAAACAAAATGTATTAACAATTGCATAATTCTCCCTTCTAGTTCTAGGTTTTTCTGTGTATAGTGCTAATGACCCAACACTAAAATGAGTTGCAAGCAAATGGCTAGCCATTCAAAGAAACACACAACTATCATTTATCTATGCATCCTTAGTACCTACCCTACTGCCTAACACTTAGTATAAGAATGCTTGTTATATTTATGAGGAAAAACAAATGAAATAATTAAAAGTCTGAATATATTTGATTGTAAGACATTGTTCATAAAATACCATAACATATATGGTTATTTAAGCAAGGACTCTAATACAAACTCAGTTCCATTCCACCTAAATATTATCCAGCATCTATAATATATACTCAAAAATATATCCATGATCATAATAGACCCTGTTACAAAGCCAAGAAAGGAACATTTCTGAGAGATATTGATTAAACTGAAACTTTAACATATGAAAAGTAAAGTTTATGTATTAATCAGTTTGTTCTCTGGTTATAATTAATGAATTACATGCATTTATACATATAAATAAAATGTTATAAAGCATGGGATATATGGTAGGCAGAATTGTATCTTGGACTTCTGTCTTGCTCCTACCTCTAGTGTGTTATCTTAGGAAACTTTAAACAACTATCCACAGCAGTGGATTTATCTGACACAAACACACACACACACACAAGAAAAAAAAAGACAAAAAAATAACAACACAAAAAAATTCCAACTAAACATAGCAGGAATTCTTATACTACCTATAAGGTAGTATAAGTACCTTACAGGAGTGCTGTAGGGATCAAATTAATTCATGAATGAAAATGACCTTTTCGAACTGCAAAGATCTATAGAAAAAGGAGAGGTGGTATTTATGGAAGACCTTCATGGCTGAAAAACTGACATTGAAAATTGAAATTGAGGAAGGATAATATTTTGGCTCGTTATTGTTGTATATGATCAATTAGCTACCCTGTTTGTAGAATGTAGTGAGACACACCATCATGGCAGGGAAGATACAGAAGACCAAAGCTGCTCATCTCATGGTGGCCAATGAGAAAGGGGTGAACATGACAAGACATGGTCCCATGGGGATGCCTCAGTGACGTAGTTCTTCCGACTGGACCCAACATCATAAAGTTTCTAGAATCTTCCCAAATAGCAAGACTAGCTGGAAAGCAAGGCTTTAGTACATGAGCTTTTTGAAGGGACACTTCATATCCTAACAGTATTGAATAAAATATCGCAAATAAATCACACCTTCCTATAACTGCCATCACATCTAAACTCCCCAAACCAGCTTCCTGGTTTACAGAGGCAAACACACGGGCTAACACCCATGTTCTCTCAGACAGCAAAAGCAGCAAAGCTGAGATGTTTTTCACACATTTTAAATATGTCTTTTTCAAAGTAAAGCTCTGATGTTCCTACTGTTTATGTCTCTAACTTTATCTTTTCTGCTCCCTTCTCTCTTCTCCCATGAAATCTGTATCCATTGATAAAACGTTTTATTCTTCTTCTTGTTAGGTGTGCTGAAGCCATTTTCTCCTCTAATATATACCAAGAGTTGCAGTCCGAGAATGGAAAAACATCAAATAAAACTTTTCTCTGAAGAAGTTACAAAATCAATGCTGTGAAGATAATATCATAGAAATTATGATATCCATGACAATCTTTTTATAATTTTTTTCTAAAAGATACATTTTTGAAATATCTTAACTCTTGATTTTATATCTCAGGCTAAAGTGCACTTGCTTGTAAGTTTGTCAAAGTTGTTTTCCTGATTAGGATTCAAACATATCGATTCAATGTTAGTCCCAGTTCCTTCAAAATAATGATTTTTTTCTAGTTTTAAGGGATTCATTGTTGCAAATATGTGAGGCAGTAATAAATATTGTAAACAATTCTACAATGGGGAAAAGCACATTCAAGTGTGTTTCCATGTTTGTCAGCTTTACTCTGCTCATTTTTCTTCCAATTGACTTCAGATGAGAGAAGTCCAAAAAGCAGACAGAAAAATGATAGGTCATATCTACTAATAAGTGTGGCAATTCTTTAACACAATTTTATAATAAGTGTTCATACATTCAGCTTTCTGAAGATGAATTAAGCAACTTTTGCTGAGCTAATACTTAACATATTGGTTGGCCAACAGTGGGGAATGAAGCCCCTGTTCTCCTAATATTTCAGGATTTTTCAGGCTAGTGTGCCACTGTTTAAACTCTTCCTATCTCTTAATTTTCTTCCTCATCCATCCCACGAATCAGTTGGCCAGTGCCACACAAAATTAGTGAAATACCAGCTTTCTGTAATTCTGTTCTGGCCTCCTAAATAAATTTGTCTATACTGCTCTTATAGTTTTTTAGGAATACTCTTGACAAAAACAACAATGCCTTTAGCAGGTTTTTTTTTTATGTACTTCTTGTCATTTTTGTCTGACTTCTCCCACTGAACTATGAATAGCATGAAAAATAGTTCCCGCATTACTCATTACTGTAGCCCAATAGCCAGTTAATTACTTGGCACATAGTGCTTGGAAAATGTACTTAGTGTATATAAATAACATCATAGGCATTTTCTGATGAACAAAAAAAGTTGAACAAAAATGGTACTAAATGAATAGATGTATTTGTAGTTGTAAAAAAGAGAAAAAAATAAGATAAAAAACATAAATATGACAAAATATTGGGGAATGATGATAAGAAAAAATAACAATAACAATGAAGATGTGACAATAGCCACATTAGCAAGCAGTATAGGTATTGTGGTTAAATTACAGGAGTCAGAAACAAATGACTCATTGTCCCTGACTCATACTACTGGGAAGGTCTGTAAATGCTAAGGCTTTCCCACTCATTTGCTGCACTCCAGCTGTCTCCTGCAGAGTGTAGAAAACCTTTCAGAGCATGTAAAACAACTACCCCAGTGGCTTGTTCACTTACTGGTGAGTGCTGGACAAAAGGACAGGAATGGTGCCAAACATTTAAGGAATGGGTAGAAGAAATGGTAAACCCCCAGCAAAGATTATGTTTACCTCCTGATCCCTGGATATGTCCATCTGAGGGGGGAGAGGGAGAGGAAAAGGGAGAGGGAGAGGGAGGCAGGGAGAGGGAGAAGGAGTAAGAGAAGAGAAAGGAAAAGAAAAGAAAAGGAACGAAAAGAAAAGAGAAAAATATAACCATGTGAGCAAAATAGAGGGATCAAAGGATGCATCCTGAGAATAGTGAAAGGAAATATGGAAGCACATAGTCTCTAAAGGAGGAAAAAAAGTTTTATATTTATGCAATGAAGAAATACTTATATCACTCACTACAAAGACCTTCAAAAATGTAATGGAGCTCCCAACTGGATAAGACTGTCAATGAATTTCCCCAGGAGACTGTAGAGCACCTTCTAGTAGTAGGGGAGCCAACAAACAGACAGGAAGCTTCCTAGTCAGTACCTACCTCATTGTTCCATGTCCTGTTACCAATGTGTATGCTGTATTGGCTAATATGGTCTTACCATCAAGTTCTAATAGGTATCAAGTTCTAAAAGCAATGGCAGCAGCTTGTTTTGGTAGCTATTGGTCCTTATCAGAGAAGTTTCTTTGTGCAGTGCATAAGGGTTAACAACAGATACTCTTAACGGATCTAAGTGTAGTGAATTAGTGCCTGTGGATTATTCAACAGACAAGCAGGAAATCAACATAACACACCCTTCACAAGGCTCAGGGACCATCACAGAAGAACAGGTGGGAGGATTGTAAGAGCCAGTAATCAGGGAGGAATGGGGCAAAACAATGTCTTCAGTATAGCTTCTCTCATGAACTCACATCAACTGTGGTTTTCTGAAGAAGAAGAAAAAAACATAGCAAGTTAGCATTCTTGCATTAAGTGGGAAGGGGTTCATGAATTCCCATCACTAACTGAAGAGCTATGATGGATCGGTTGTTGTAGAGGGAGTCAATTTTCCTAAGATGTGACTTCTGGTAGGCAGAGTATAGTATATGGCCCCATACCCAGAAGTGTATGGACAGCACAAATTAGAATTTATTAAAGTTATTAAAGTTATTAAATAAAATCAAAGGAAAGAGAGTTTGGATTACATGAAGGTGGAGCTAGGAGGAGTTTAGAGTAAATAGAATCAAAGTATAATATATGAAATATTCAGAGAATTGATAAAAATATATTTAAATTAACACATTCATACTTATACATAAAATTTAGTGAATTGTTTTTAAGGGTTCAAAAATGTTCTGATACCTCAAGCACTCCAAATTAATTATGAAACTCAGGCTGCAATGCCTCTTCAGGAGCTATTAATCATGAGCTATGACGTCAGCTATAATGCCATTGAACTGGCATGGTTTGACAGAGGTGATATATATAAAAGACCTTCAACATCCTGCCGTGGGCCTTTCAATATAGGCACCTGAAGAACAGAGAAAGCCACAGGCCACATAGAAAATGATCAGCCCAATTTCTGTGAATCAGAATAGAAAATAAGGACTAGGAACTGATTTGGGGATGTAGTAATCATGAGTGTCACAATGTTGGTAAAACATAGTTGTTTTCATATATGTGTCTCTTAGATATCTTTTCTGAGTAGAGATAAACTAATTCAAGTGGGAATATCCATGACACAAATATCCCCAAAATGTCCCTTTTATGAAGGCTGGACGCCATGTGTGAGCAAATTCGAGGGTGGGGAGGTGGGAGTGGGGGGTAGGTAGGGGCATATCCCCAGAGAAGCAGGAGGAGGGGCGATGGGATAGGGGGTTCCTGGGTAGGTGGGTGGAGGAATGGGTAAAGGGATAACATCTGAAATGTAAATAAAATATCCAATAAAAAAGAAAGAAAAGAAAATGAAAAACAATGGACTATGATCCTGATAATTTTAATATAAATACCTAAAGAAATATGAAGCTTGCACAGTTTGTTGCAATAATAAAACTTAACAGTGTTTAAGTTGAACTCTGGAATCAGCACTACACACACACAAGCAACTCCAGTTTCACTTCAGCTGCTATGCAGAACTTAAAAAACAAAGGTTTCCATAGGTTGAAAGGAGTCATGAAAAGTGTGAAAATAAAAATGTAGCTAAAGAGAAGCTTCTTCAGTATGTTTTCTTTACTGCTTAGCCTCTGAAGAATAAGGCATTGCTTTGAATGTACCAGAAAAAAAAAAAAAAGAAATACACATAGAAATTGGTAATATTTAAAGAGTTAATGTAGCTAAATAATGAAATGTGGGAGTTTTTTCTTTCAAATGTTTTTACTTTTCAGTCAATAAGAATTGAGAAAATCTTGTCTGAAATAAATAGATCTTAACTCATCAGAACAAAAGACTCTCTTCTGTGCAGGAAGAAGAAAATGAAAGCTGCCGTCCCTGCAGCTCACTGTGGATAAACCTTTTCCAACAATGTTTTACTTGTCTCTTCTCAACCTAGAGACTAGTTAGAGGACTTAACTGTCTGAGAATGGGATCCAAAAGATGTTTCCAAAACAAAACCATCCAGAACGTAAAGAAGTATGCTTAATCCAATATAAAGTGATTCTTGGATCTGAGATCCAAACATTAGAGCCCAGATTTTGTTTTCTGCCATCACTGAAAGATTAATAATAAAGTCATTTCTACACTCTGACATGATTGCTATAGACACTGTATTGATGAGAAAGTGGATCATGTCTTATTGGTGAGTAGACATAACTTGAGCTAAAGATCTCCTGACAAACAGTTTCAAATCTTTTAACAAGTGTTTCTGCCCACAGCTCTGCGTAGAGCATCTTTGACTTCTTTGTTCCTGAGACTGTAGACAACAGGGTTCAACAAGGGAGTGATAATGGTGTAGGTCACAGAGAGAAGAAGGTCTTTTTCTACTGAATTTTCCGACTTGGGTTTGAGGTAGGCAATGGAGGCACAGCCATAGTGGACAATGACCACAGTGAGATGAGAGGCACAGGTGGCAAAGGCTTTCTTCTGGCCTTCAGCAGACACAATTTTAAGGATAGAAGAGGTGATGAGGACATAGGAGATGAATATCAGCCCTATGGGCACAAGAATTACAAATGAACTTACACTATAATTGATTATCTCATTGACAGTGGTATCAACACAAGAAAGTTTCATTACTGGGTATATGTCACAGAAAAAGTGCTCTACCACTGTGCCACAGAAGGGCAAATGGAACATGGCTGGCACATGCAGAACTGCCATAACCAGACCAGTGCCTAACGACCCACAAACCAACCAGGCACACATTCCTTTGCTCATGATGACGGTATATCTCAGAGGATCACAAATGGCCACGTAACGATCATAACCCATTGCTGTGAGCAGAAAGCAGTTGTTGGTGGCCAAAGTGACAAAAAAGAACATTTGGGTTGCACAACCTGCCAAGGATATGGGAAGGTTGTAAAAAATCAGGCTGGAAAGCATTCTTGGGACAATGACCAGTGTATATACAGTCTCTGAACATGCCAACATGCTCAGAAAGAAGTACATGGGAGTGTGAAGGTGATGGTCCATGTGTGTGATTGTCACTATAATGATGTTGCCAGCCACAGTTAAAATGTAGATGGTTAGGAAAAGCACAAAGAGTGTTATTTGATGCTTTCCAAAGCTAGAGAATCCCAAGAAGATGAATTCTGTCACTTCAGTGAAGTTCTTTCTCTGCATTCTGCACTATTGGTGTCTAAAAGTGAAAAGAGTCATCAAGGGGAAACTTTAATCAATAATTGAAATTTAAAGTAATGAATCAGGATAAGCTGCACTGAGAAGGTGGAAAAATGTCCCTCTTTTGTGAGGGGTCACATCTGGGGTATTTGTCCCTGAAGAAGAAGAAATATTTGCACACCTTTTTGGAATTTAAGTGTATAAACATTAGCAAACTGTTTTTTGCAAGAAGACTTCGAGTACTTGCTCACCTCACACAAAATAGTGATGTTAGGGAGTAGAAGGGGCTAGCAAGAAGACAGTCATGTTCTGTTACCCACTTAAACATGCTTAACAAGAGTGAACACCAGTAAAGGACATGTAAAGAAAGTCATAAAGACAGATGTTTATAGATGAAATGACTCAGTAGTATGAGGTATTTAGGAAAGATGGACTTTGAAAAAAATGGTTGTTAGATTTGATGACAAAGTCACTGGGAACCTTTATACACAGTGTTACAGTTGAATTCTAAATACGAAGTCTTGAGTTCAGCAAGAAAATATGAGTCAAAAATGTCACTCTCTCAAAGAGCAGCTCCAAAGTGGCTTCTACCACATTCAGTCCATTTCAATTGACCTCCAAAAGCTCAAACAAAGAAATATTTATTTGCTGATTGCAGTAGCGGTCTGGGTAAATCCAAGAAAAGACCTATGAGTGAGAAAACAATTAGTTTTCTCTGTGACATAGCATTATCTGAGGACTCAGCTATACCACTCCTGGTTATATACCCAGAAGATGCTCCAACATATAACAAGGACACATGCTCCACTATGTTCATAGCAGCCTTATTTATAATAGCCAGAAGCTGAAAAGAACCCAGATGTACTTCAACAGAGAAACAGATACAGAAAATGTGATACTTTACACAATGGAGTATTACTCAGCTATTAAAAACAATGAATTCCTGAAATTCATAGGCAAGTGGATGAAACTAGAAAATATCATCCTGAGTGAGGTAACCGAATCACAAAAGAACACACATGGCATGCACTCACTGGTAAGTAGATATTACCCAAAGGCTCTCAATACCCAAGATACAACTCACAGACCACATGAAGCTCATGAAGAAAGAAGACCAAAGTATGGGTGCTTTGATCCTTCTTATAAGGAGTAACAAAATACTCATGGGAGCAAATCTGGAGACAAAGTGTGGGACAGAAACTGAAGGAGGGGCCGTCCTGAGACTGTTCCACCTGGGTATCCATCCCATGTGCAGTCACCAAAGGCAGGCAGTGAGGTGATGCCAGGAAGTGCATGCTGACAGGAACCTGATATAGCCGTCTCCTTAGAGGTCTGCCAAAGCCTGATATTTACAGAGGCAGATGCTCACAGCTAACCATTGAACTGATCATGGGGTTCCCAATGGAGAAGTTAGAAAGAAAAACTTAAGGAGCTGAAGGGGTTTGAAGCCCCATGGGGAGAGCAACAATACCAACCAAACAGAGCTCCCAGGGTCTAAACCACCAGCCTGGGAGAACATAGGGAGTAACCCACAGCTCCAGCTGTATATGTAGGGAAGGATGGCCTTGTTGGGCATCAGTGGAAGAAGAGGGGGTCCTTGGTCCAGTGAAGGCTGGATGCCCTAGTGTGGGGGAATTTGAGGGCGGGGAGGTGGGAGTGAATGGGTGGGTGGGGGTACATCCTCATTGAAGCAGGAGTAGGTGGGGGATGGGATAGGAGGTTTCTGGGTGGGGGTAAATGGGGAAAGGGGATAACATCTGAAATGTAAATAAAATATCCAATAAAAAAGAAGAGCTTATAAGACAATGTGAGGTATAATATATATATATATATATATATATATATATATATATATATATATATATATATATATATATAAGTTTCATGGTTAAGAGGGAAAGAGTGGGCAAAGTATTTGAAGCCTAACTGATAACTATTTTGAAAATCACCAAACAGACAATTTGATATAACTGTGAGAGTCACAGAAAACTAGCCTCTTCTTTAAAAGAGAGTATGCAGGCTGGAGATTTGGTTGTCTATCGTGCATGAGGACTTAGGTTCAGCCAAAAAATCATGAAGCTGGTGTGATGGCACACATGCACACATGTAGAGGCAGAAGGATTGGAAGTTTAAGGTCATCCTCAACTATCTTGTAATCTCAAGGCCAGCATCC